TTAAGCAATAATATTTGAAAAGGACATAGAGGAAAAATCCTCATAAAACACACTAAGGTCTTGGTGACCTCAAGAGGCAAATTAAATGTATGCACAGGAAGTATCTACCAGTTTTTGAGCAAGCATGTCTGAAAAGCATTGTTTCAAGACAACAGACTCCAGTTCTCTGGTTTCTCACAAAATCTGTTACTGCATAGTGATGAATTTATAAGGAAAAAAAAAAGCTAGACTCACTGCAGAGTAGGACTAATCACCCAGATGGCTTTAGAGCTTGATAAAGCTACTCTGCAGATTAATCTGAGATGTTTATGCTGATTCAGAAGTCTGATGGTATAGACACAGGAGGCTATGTTAGTTTGAAGGAGGGGGCTTCAAAATACTGTATTGTAAACTCTGCTTTAGTCACTTATCCTTATTTATAAAAAAGTCTTCCATATTACAGCCTTACAGGTTGTTAACAGAATGAATGGCAGCATGACTACCATTATCAAATTATATATGCTTTTCAAATCTATGATAAGAATAGACTTAACTGAAGAATAACTAAGGATTTATCAAACCTGAAGTGTGTACCTAAACTCAAAAAAGCTGTTCTGAGAGCATCTTATCAGCTACCACCTGGGACTGGATAAATCTAACCTCAAAAATACTCCTTTTATCTATCCAGCCATTCAAATTTGGTTTTCTGAATGTAACCACCATCACGATCTTAATGTAACCAAACTATCTGCCTTGTATTACAAGCCTCATGGGACAGGATGAGGTAACTGGGCATTTAAGTACCTATTTCTCATGAGGTACTCATTCCAAAACTGTTTGGATTACAAGGATTACAAGTTGCACTATTATATACACACCTATAGAGACATAAAAATATTTTTTTAAAGTCCATTTTATCTTAAATATGGCCAAACACTGCTACTATTAACCAATAATCTAGTGGTTGGAGTACCTGCCTGGGAAGTGTGAGAGACCAAGTTCCTCAGACGCAGAGGATTTAGTATCTTCCCTCCTGGATTCTGCATCTTTCTGTCCTGGGGTATCGCCAAACTGCAGGCTGTTATAGAAAAGAGTTTCTCTTGGAGACTTTAGTAGTTTGTGTGGAGAAAAGAATAAAAAAATCAACTGGTCAATAAATCTGCCAAGAGCTGCATCTTCAGTGAAGTGGTAAAGGCCTTTCGAGTTAGGCTTTTGAAACCTAGCACTAATATTAACAATAGGCCAACACAAGACTATTTTTCTTGTTAACTTGCATCTTTTCCAGCGTAGCTTTGCCTTGTGAGTTATTGGCATACCTAAAATGGGGCCACCACAAGTTTATTCCATGTCTCCATTACTTTTCTCTCAATGCTATAATGCAAAATATTGTAAGAGGCAAATGTCAATCTCTAAAGTTTTCAAAGTTTTCCACCTGTGAAAAGGTTCCATATTCTTCTTGACCCAAAATAAGGATAGAAGCTTTCATGCTGACTTCATTTACTTGTTTTGTAGCAGAAGACTAATGTGGCAGGAACACACCCTTTAGACTTCAGGCATGAAGCAGCCATGCTTCACTCTAAGTCATGAAGTGTGCTTGGGCTGTCCTTCCCATGTCCCTTTTGCATTCAGCTTAGTAAAATTGTAACTGAAACTGAAAATGGTTATGTGAAGCGTTTCTTTCAGCAAAAACTGAGAGGAGAACAGGAGGGCATGATAAGCCTCTGCAGAGCTATAGGTTTGGAGATGCTGTTAATTCCTTAATTAACTTCACCTTGCAATAGGGGAAAAAGCTTATCCTGAAATAGTATTGGATGACAGAACTTAGCATTTGTTAGCTTTCATACTGAAATGGGAAATACCGGTGCCTCTGGTGTCACTGAACCAATTTGCTTCACGAGGCTGGAATTTGGGTAAGCTAAGCTAGGGTATAAAATGGATACTCACGATAGGGGTGCGGGAGGTATGCCTTTATTCTACAGTCACCTAGAAAACTTTCCGCCAAGCTACTGAGGAAAATGTCATTCCTTTGTCTAGCCTCCACTACTAGAAATTATGGAGTGAGACTAATATTAGAAAGCATTTACCAAAGAAACCTCAGGGCAGTACTCTTCACGTTTTTCAGGAAGAAAATTAGGTTTGTGGTTTGTTAGTGAGCTTTTGTACCTCATTTCTGCTTAACCTCAGGTTATGAAACGCAATGCATCCCTTAAACAAGGTTTGGGTTTGAAATGCAATATTTCTTCCTTATGTGTGCAGGATTTTATAAGCAAACCATTAATATGCTTGTTGATTTAAACAATAATTTTTCCAGCTGAAAGAGGAGGCTTTGTCACTGACTGTCCTGTACCTGTATGATATCAACCCGTGGCTTCTGTGAAGTGCCTAGCTGTTCTTACGTACAGGAAGTAACATCACCAGTCAGGATCAAGTTTCCTGTCATGTTGTGTTTCACTCTTAATAGTGAATGTTGTAGACACATTTAAAATTATCGAGCTTTTGTGTTAGCTGCGTAACTATCAATGCCGTATGTGGTTGAAAGGCACTGCAGCTTATTCCCAGACCTAAGCTAATAACCTATACCACAGCAAATATTTACAAATTTAATGGATTGCAGTATGATACGCCATATATGCATCTCCACTGAACACATACTGCTCACCAGAAAGAATTCCTGTAGCTAAACTACACTATGCTTCTTTAAATAAAACCACTGCAATTTTACCGAAACAGTGAAGGTTTATATATAACCAGCTTCCCACTGCTTCCTTCTGTGCTATCGGTTTTCTAGTCCTCTTCTCCTATGCAAAGCATGTCAGCAATATGCCTAAATGAGTGGATGCAGCATAGGATGGCCCTGCTTTTCTAACCTCAGGAATGTGTCCTGTTTGCTGCACGTTACACTTTCCTACCTTGATTCTTTCACTGGAAGAGAAATTGTGATGACACTTTTATATTCCTGGCAGCTGTCAAATGCTAAAGCACAGGTTTAGGCGATTTTTTTTTTTCTTTTTCTGTGTCATGAAAACTAGTATCACTTCCTCTCTGTGTTTTTAGGTCTGAAAGATTACATTTATTTCAGGTAATCTTTTTTCCTCTGTCTCACCCCAATATACTACCCTAATCTGTATTGCAGGAATGTGCACGTATGTGTAACTGCGGTAAAAAAAAAAATGCGCCTCGGAAGCGCGTCTCGGCAGTCCCGAGGCGAGGCAGCCTACCACTGAGGGAAACACGGCTGCAGGCTTCCCGGCCTGCTCTCCAGCCG